GGTGAATGGACCTGCACCTCACTCGAGGCCCAAGGAGTGGGTGAATGAACCTGCACGCCAAAGACAATGTCCTAGAATTGGCTAGTGGAGAGCCCGCGCCGCCGTGATGCTTCGTAGACATGGATGTGGAGCTCGTCGTTGGAGAAGATGTGGCGCTGCCAATGATGCGGTGTAGCAGTGCAATTCATTGTCGGTCATGCTTTGCCGTGAGGGAAGGGGTAAATGAAACGGACTGTAAAACTTCATCGTCTAACATGGGGATCATTTTTTGTACATGTCCTGCAAAACTGAGTATGAACGACCAAAATATACCTGGTCAATAAACATCTTATGGTACGGAACAGAAAAACTATAGCCTTTGCTTCCAGTTTGAGTGTTTCTTGCTCAACAACCTTCATCTGCTGGGAGATCCCAACCTAGGACTTATGTGTTTGTAGCCTTTTCTATGTTTGTGGTCGTGACTTGCATGTTGGATTTCTATTCCCAAGTAATTCAAAGCTAGCAGAACATTTGAAAGTTACCTAATATTGAACACACAATAGTTTCATTTGAATATAAAAGTATAAGCCAGGCTCACCTCATTGTCATATGTTTCCATTCTTTGCTTGAGCTTTCTTTTTATTCGCCAACTACTTTCAAGCTACTGCTGGTAGCAGCACATCTTGGCCCGAGGAGTAGCTACTAACACCATCGAATTCATCTGAGTCCTGGTTTGGTACACTTTGCTGCCTAGTAGTATATATTTTTGACGGAATAAATTCGGAAGCAGGGTCTGAGGGGCAAGATTAGGCTCTTGCTCTGGAACAAAATTGTTAATCTCAGATTGATTGTTAGAAACAGCTCTGATATCAACCCAATCACTTAATTCATTTTCTTTCTGAGGACCGTTGCAATTGTCGACCCAGTTCGCTGACTTGTTCTCAGCGACGCTGCCAGAGCCAGGCAAATCAAACTTCTGCATTTTTTGCATTGGAGTGACATTGCTCCAAACGTTTTAGAAAGGAAGAGAATACACATTTAATTGATACTAGAGTTTTGTATGTCAAGAATATTTAAAATAGAAGTTACTTATGTCACAATTTATGTTTTCTCAATTGGAGAAATTTAACCAATTCTATTTCTAAATTTGAGACATATATCTACGAAATAATGTCAACTTCACTCGCAAAAAAGAAAGAAATAATGTCAACTTAGTGTCAAGCTTTTTTGACCAGACATCCTTATATTATTTGCTTTTGCTGCACCCTGCTCAACAGAGGCAACTCGTTCATCAATTTGAAGTTGATTATTGTCTCATTGACACCATCTGGTTGTAGGCTAATGTGCACAAACATCAGTGTTTTGGTTTGTCCTCCTGACCATTGCGACAAAATGTTTTATCACATAGATTGAGTACCAGCAAACTGAAAAGTTACGATATTAACTTTGCAGACTACCTAGAGAATATTGCAAAAGCTGGATATGCATGATTTTCCAGTACGGCATAGATATAATGTCGCGTACAGTGTTTCAGATGGATCTCCCAGAAAGTGACTTGTTTAATTATGTACAGTGTTTCCTTCAGTCTGTCTCCTACAACTTCAGATTTTTTTCAACTCTTTCGC